TTAGTTGCAGCGCTACACATCGACACAACTGTCATTTACACAGTGTACATGTGTGCGTAATTTCATATAACTGTATATAAAAATATTCGTCCACCACGTTCACATTGGTATTTTCATTCTTGTGTCGGTATACGTATTTTTATAATTTAATGCATAGGTAAGGTTAAAACTATTTACAATCATTGATATGACCCGACATTTTCACTGTCATTATCGTAGTGCTCGTGGTCGATTGGTTAATGAGCACGCTTTTATCGTCTTTCAAGGATCAATGATGTGGGTTCTATTCCAGCTAAAAGTTAATTTTATTTTACCTTGTTATTTTTCTTATTTTTTTTTTTTGTTTTTTGTCATAAAATATAAATATCAGGCTATAAAAGAAGCAAATGAGTTGGTAAATAAACAATACTATTTTTTATTACAATTAATTTATTTATTATACAAATATGTTGTTTTATATTCAATATTTATATCTAATAATTAATTATATACCACATGTTAAGTTTAAAGTTCTTTAAATATAATTAATAGATATGACAATAAACCTCATAGTCGAATCGGGAAATATCATGCGGTACAGCGGTAATACGATGGCAGCAACATTTTTTATTAAGTAGGTAATAAACAAATATACAACATTCTTGTTTTGTAATTTAATAATATAATGTATTATTAAATTACAGTTTTACAGTAATAAACAAGTAAAACATGTAAAAAATTACACTGTCAACATAATATTTCTTGAAATGGGCGACTTTTTGTCGTTTGAACTTCCATTAATTATCTATTTTACGACGGTTGTTATAAGGTTCAATATTCAGTGGGCTGTATGATAGTAAAAAGAATGTGACGAATGCTATGGAACGATTTTAACTTTCATGACCTTTAGAATCAGGGAAACTTTAAATTAATTGAAGATGGCGTAAATATAATATGTCAATCAAGTTCGAAAGCAGTTAAATAAATTTGTTAATGAAAAATTAAAGTGAAGTGAATAAACATGTTGAATAGAAAGAAATTATGACAATTTCTAACCACAAAACAATAACATCACTTCACCGTATGTTCTAGACAGCATTTTAATATTCTTAAAAAAATTAAACATTATTTTATGTTAATTTTAATAAAGGCAGAGTTTGACAGGCTCAATAATTGATTCCGAAATCAATACAATCACTGATCCTACAAGGCAGAAGGTTGCAATTCGTATACCTTTCTCCATCTTTTCTTCACAATATTTTACGCCCATCCTTATCCGACTTGAAAGTCTTTTCGTCGCTCAATATGATTACACTGTTCGCCCAATCAAAGTAATAAAGTCCTGAGCAAATTCTTAGCGCTTTTGCTGGTGAACCACAGATAACAATATTTTCTTCTCTGGCTTCCTGCACCTTAAACCAGAATGCAGGTGTCTCCGTACAGTTTGTATTAAAACATTCAGTGCTGTCGCTGTAGTGCGGGTTGGCAGGAACGGATCAGCCATGTGCCTGGCTACGATGTCGTAGTGCCGAGCCGATGAATTTGCCTTTGGTTTAGGCCCACGTCGACGATGTTTAACGTCACCGGTCTCCGCATATCTGTGCACCCATAACTGCATGGATCTCCTCTGTTGATACCAAACAAATAAGTATTTAAAATACCAGGAAATACTTTACAGGAATTAAAGTTATTTAAAAATAATAATAAATTAGTAAACACAATGTTAGAATAATAATTTATAATTAAGTAGTGGCGTAAGGAATAAAAATCCCTAACCAGATATGTTTTAAAGAAACACTCCTAACAAAAACAAGTCAAGTTACAATACAATTAATAATAAATTATTAATATATCTTTATAATATTGAACTTCATAATAAGTTGCAATAATTATTTTATTCTAGTGCAAAAATTGATAGGTGTGTCGAGTTACAAAATGAAATAAATATTATTTAGAATATCAACGTAGTATCTTATTTACTCACCGATATCATTAAACGCCTTGCTATTTCAGTTATTGTTAGTTATGTTTTGCTCATGCAAAACAATGGTTTCAGCCTTTTTAAATGTTGATAGGTGTTGGAACATCTTGTAAAAATAAAAATAACTTTGCACACGAATATAAGTAGTGTAGCAATAAACTATGAAATCCTCATAAATTGACAACTAAGAACGCAATTATTTTGTAAGTCGGGTGATTTGAAAAACATGTTTTAAATAGTCGGTAGTTACTTCATAAGCGTGTAAAATAAAATGACTCGAGATTTCTATGGTCGCCACAAACATTGCAAATATACTCAGGTATCGAACCATTAAGAAATCACAGTTAATTACTTTTTTACTGTTTTTATCTTATTTAAGTTGGTTGAAATGCATGAAGCAAATGAGATTATTCTAAATAATAAATAACTAGAACTAAAATATAAATAAAAGATATTATAGGTATAAATAAATCTAAAGTATTTACTATTAAAATTAACATAAGATTTAGAACAATAGGAAAGGAAAAAAAAGAAAAGATTTAATTGTTTCTAATTTCAAATTTCAAATATTTGATAAATTAATTCTAAAACAACATGTGAATGTTGGAATCGATCCGGCGGCACTTTACTTGACAATTGGAGGCGATAACCATTGCGCCAAGCGCGCTGTAGATGAGATCATCGAAATATTTTATATCATTCAGTAACATAAAATTACAATGAGAAAGCACTATATTTATATGGGTATTGTATAGCTCGATCGTTCATTATTTTTGATTTCGATTTATTCAAAGTTTGTTATGAGTAATTTTATCTTTACCCTCGTTTTTATTTAAACTTATTTACTAAATTATTGCGTATACCGACACAAAAATGATTTTTAAATACCAAGATGTGTGTGATAGACGAATGTTTCTATACATATCTATTGATATGAAATTACCCACACATGTATATTGTGTAAATGATAGTTGTGTCGATGTGTAGCGCCGCTAACTAATTAGCGGTGCTTTGTGTACATCCGGCGCGACGTTCCATAGAGCACTCTCTATATTATTTTGCTTCATTGTTGTTGTTGATTTACATAAATGATTTACGAGCACGGCTTTCTTTGGGCGAGCCGAGGGCGAAAACATTTTAATTGACGGTGAACATCCTCGTTTCATAATACACCTGCTTAATTCAAGTAGGCCGTAGAATACAATACAAATTCAAAGAACCAACCATGCTATATCTTTATAAATTAATTATAAATTGGTGGTCTTGAGATTAATCTTTATAACAGTAGGTACCCTAATTAATTAGGAAGCTTTGGTGCTCATGATGGACTAACACAACCGACAGACAGCAGACAGATGCTTCAGATGCACATACCTACATCTGTTTGGGGAAAGTCGACGTTCAGCAGTGGACGACAATAAATCAACCGCGATCACTTCCGCAGCAGGATATTTAGATACGTAGGCCTTTTTCAGACGGGCGACACGGCACCACGGGTGCACGGCAGCCGGAGGTAGGAGATACTCGTAGTTACATAATTATTATACTGTCACATTAGTTGACTTCAGCATTCAGACTTGTGGTATAATGTTTCCACATTATTATTTTCCCTACTTACGTCTAGTAACTGTACCTATCTCTACTTACACCACTGAAATTAACATTTTTGCGCGCTATTTTTATGACAAAAGGAAAACCTACCTACTATATGCATATATAAGTTAGGTACATTTCCTTAAATACAAATTATGCAGCTGGATTTCCGTGATCTGTATCACTTGGCACAACAAAGTTGCACTGTTTAGGTATTAGATAATATTCTTTTGTTGTGTAACATTGCATATAAACACAATTGGTTTTAAATAAACAGGAAGTACTATGTAGGAACCTCTCCATTCTTATTATCTACAACATTGTTTACCTATTTCGAATTATGCAAATAATTTGATGAAAAACATCGATAGACTGTTTTTCATGGCTTAGGTACTCAGGAACACCATATAATAGAAGATAAAATAAATTAGAATAAATATGTATTTATGCTAAGTAGGTATTTACTAACTACCTAGTTGTGCCACCATAGGAAAACTAAAAACGCTTGACGACTATGAAACTTAAATCGAATGAAAGAATGCAAGTAGGTAGGTCTATTATTTTGCAATGAATTACTCCAACTACTTACAATAATTATGTATTTATGCCTAATTCACTGTTTTTTTTTCTTTTAAACGTTGCCCTTCACTAGTATTTTCTCCTGTGTGGTGGGTGCGTTTACAAACATACAACTTTACTTATGTACACATGTCACCCAGACAGACTCGAAACAACAATCTGCAGATCACACAAAAGACTTGTTTCGTGCGGGAATCGAACCCGCAACACGTTGCGCGGCAACCGGTTGCTCCACCACCGCGCCAACTGTGCAGTAATTATTAAGTTAAACCTAATAAATTTTTGGCAACTAAATTTTTTAAACTCCCTTGAGTTTTCATATAAAGTTAAATTATTTATCTTACCAAAATTCGTAATACTGTTGCCATCTAGTGTGCTGGTACGTAAACAACAAAACAGTACTAAGTAACAAAATCGACTAAAACATTACTGGCTGCACGCCCTCACCTCTATTTTTGACATCTAACAGTACAGTGACAACGTCAATAAACAAAACTATGTCATCGTCGTAAGGTTTCGTTACGTCAAAACAAAAGCAAAAATAAAGCGCAATATTGTAATGAACACTTTAAATAATTTGTAAAACTAGTTTAACAATCGCCATATAAGCTGCTATGATTTATATTATTACTCGGATGGTGCTACCTTTTTAATATACTTGACCCTTGTCACCTTGACATAACAATATCGATTGCTCTAATTCACTTGTATTGCGCGGGCTTTTTAATTATTTTACAATTTTTCGCGTGCAGTTCGCTAGCCTATATATAGAGAAAATATTTTTTATAATATCCAGTTGACGCCACTCTAATACAGAGTACAGTTGTGTAATTTCCATTTGTCTTCTTTATTGATTCCACTAGTTAAAATGTTATCCAAGTTGCCAAGATCGTGCGATACATTTGTCGTGTTACCGCCGTTAACAAAAAATCAATCCGTCGTGTTTGGAAAAAACTCTGATCGTCCGCAGAACGAAGTCCAAGAAGTAGTTTTAGTCAAAGGAGGGCCCAGGGATGATAAGCTAAAGGTAACTATGAACCTTTATCAGACTTATTATTATAAAGGCGAGAATGACTAAAGAGTGACTGATTGAATGTGGAAGATGCAATTAAAGACTAAAAGTAGACAAATTGGAAACATACAGGTTTCATGACTTTCATACAAAGAGGGTATCCTAACAACTGTTTATGTTGCAGTGCACTTACATCACCATAGATGGGTTTTCACCAGTAAATACAGTAATATTGAGCAAACCAGCTTGGATGTGGGGAGCTGAGATGGGTGCTAATGATAAAAATGTAGTTATTGGCAATGAGGCAGTTTGGACTAATAACAATGAAGGAGAAGGTGATGCACGACCCAAGCGCTTGTTAGGGATGGACTTGGTGCGGTAAGTTTAATATACAACAATTACAAATTACAAAAAACCATCAAACAATCTTATTACAAACATACACTAATTTTTAAACATATTTATCTAGAGCTAGTCTATACCAATTTATTAATAATGCTGTAAGTACACAATAAATAAACATTCAGTCATCAAGACAATTACATAGCACTAATTATTTAATAGGCTAGTGTATACATAAATCTACTGCTTTGGCATTTTCTGTAACTGCCTCACTGATGAAATGAAATGGTAAAGAACTTTGTTAAATTAGCATTTAATTGTTTAGCCTAGGATTAGAGAGAGCTAACACTGCAGAAGGAGCATTAGATGTGATAACATCACTACTTGAGAAGTATGGTCAAGGCGGTCCTTGCTCTGAACATGATGATAGCCACATCTATCACAACTCCTTCCTTATAGCAGACACCAAAGAAGCCTGGGTTTTAGAGACCAGCGGCAAGTTATGGGCAGCTGAAAGAGTCACAAGTGGCTACAGAAACATTTCCAATGGTCTCACTATTGCAACAAAGATAGATAAACATGCTAACAATTTGATGGAAAAGTCTAAGAGGTTGGGTCTCTGGGACGGACAGGTCAGTATAAATGCTGAAATTGTAGGTATTTACAATAACTATGTATATCACATCTCTTTTCATTGAATAAATTCTTCAAAGCTGATTAACCCTAGATGGAGGCTAGTGATGATAAAAATGTTGTAATTGGCAATATTGCCTTTGTTATGTATATTCTTGTTTGATTGTTGCACTTTATGATCACTCGACCATGAGGGTAGTGAAATGTAAGGTGTATTTAAATCATTAATTTTATTATTTCCAGAGTGAATTCAATTTCACCAGATGTTTCTCATCTGGTGGTGATGAACAAAGGCAGCAAGAAGGTGCCAGATTGTTGAAAGAGGGAAGCTCTTCATCAGCATTTGATGTGAGGGCCATGATGAATGTTTTAAGACACAAGGACAGCCGTATTTGCAGAAGTTGTGATGATACCTTCCCCACCCAAGGAAGTCAGGTAAAATCCCACAAAAATAGACAATTATCAGATAACAGTATCAATATCATTGAAATTATTTTCTAATTCCATAAATTGATTTGTTTCCAGGTGTCTAGCCTCTCAGATAAAACGATAAGTGTGCATTGGTTCACTGCTACACCAGACCCCAGCATGTCGTTCTTCAAACCATTCGTTTTCACCAAGAATGCCCAAGCGTCTCCATTCATTGTGAGCCCGGATAAGGTAATATTACTTATATTTTTTTTTTTTTTTTAAAAAACTTTGCCCCACACTAGGATTTTCTCCTGTGTCGTGGGTGCGTTAAGAATAAGAATAGAATAAGAATTTTATTTGCTCAAACATGTGTGTGCATACAGAATTAAAATAATACAGCATGCAAGATCTTAGAGAAAAGTGGCTTACGACATGTCTGCCATTTATCATGGCGTGCAAATATCTATTATATAAAAAAAAAATTTTAATGACTGTGAATTATTACATTAATTTTAAAATTTACACTTATACCTACATTAAATATCTGCAGTATCATTATACATTATTAATTAATTTGTTCATATTCAATTAATATTTACTAAAAATGATTTAATTATTATTATACAAATTATATATTTTACTTATTATTTAATAACATTCAATTGTAATAATATTAACAATATGTTTCTTTGTGTCCTACACTGTGACACAACCTTAATTAGGGCAATGTTAGTTTTTATTGTTATTTATTTATAACAATCACTGACTCACTTAAAAACTCCGTTATACTATAATAAGCTTTCTGTGCCAAAAACAATTTCATTGTTTGTTTTAGTTTAGGTATAGTTAGTTCTTTCCAACTTTTGGGTAATTTATTATAGATAATTGGTGCCATGCAAAATACACTCTTGCGCATAAGTGCAGTTTTTGATGTATGTAAACATAGTTGGCTATCGTCACGTCTATTCCTTGGAAATCTGTCTGCCATACGAGGAAACAAATGTGGATTTGTCTTCACGAACATTGTTATTTCTAATACATAAAGTGAAGGCAATGTTAATACACGATATTTAATAAAGTAATTTTACAGCTGTCAGTAGATTTGAGATTAAACATAGATCGCAAGCAGTATTTTTGTCTCTTAAAAATGACATCCCTATCGGTTGAGTTACCCCAAAAGATTACACCGTATCTAATGACCGATTCAACCAAACCATAGTAGGCCGTCAATAACGCTTCTATATTTACAGTACGCGATAATTTATATAACGCGTATGCCGCACTGCTTATTCGTTTGGCTAGAGATTCAACATGCGCTTTCCAATTTAAATTTTTGTCGATTGTCAGTCCTAAAAATTTTGTGGTTTCAGCAATTTGTATTCTATTATTATTATATTCGATGTCAAGATTAGAAAATAAGGATAATCGATGACTAAAATGCATAATCATAGTTTTATTTATATTAATTTTTAAATTATTATTATCAAGCCACTTTACCGCTTCAATTAAAGTACTTTTTATGTCCATTTCATAATTAGTTTTTTCATGGCATGGTATAGTAATCGTACTGTCATCGGCAAACAGAGTCATCGGATGTTTAATGGCTTTAGGGAAATCATTGATATACAGAGTAAATAGGAGGGGTCCAAGTACACTACCTTGCGGAACTCCATGAGGAGCTGTACGCGCACATGATGTGAAAATTTCTTCACGTTGAGTGTTCACATTTACAAACATACAAGTTCACATACACATGACACCCAGACCCAGACTTATATGCATGTAACATGCATTCATTTTTTTATAAATAGTACTTCTCATGAGTTAAACATTACTACTTTGTAACATAATGTAAAGAATTTTAATCATAATGTAAAAGTATTTACCATGGGCATAAATTTACTCTTTTCAGCCACTTAGAGAACATCACCTTTATAAGTTGCATATGGAACGCATATCTGCAAGCGACAATGAAGACGTTGCGAAGGTTATACAAGTGCTGGAAGAAGATCGCCTTGCAGAGATTGAGACATATGCTAATGATATTCCAACCGGCCAAAACACACATGATAAACTTGATAACCTATTGAAAGACTGTGCAGAGACTGAAGTAAACTTATATGCAATTTAAAGCCTTCCTGTGTCAATTTAAAATATTATCTTATTTACACGATTTCTCATTAGATAAATCTTATTGTTTCACCAAAGTTTGAAGTAAAATTGTTATGACTAAATATTTTATAGATTTAAGGACTATATCGCAAAATATTACTAGATGCAAGTTATTTTAATATACTTGGATAGTTTATAGAATCTTTATAATATGCAATATTAGTTCGTGGTGGGGAATATTCAACTAATGGGGTGTTTTGATTGTACCATTTGTAATTGTTGTTGTTATAGTAATTGACTATAATATATAGTTGTTAGTAATATTTTGTTAAGATAATTTAATGACATAACATAATATAATATTTCGCTAATATTTTATCTGGTTGCCATATTATTGAAATATGAAATTTATTTAAATAATCCCAATCGTTTAGCAAATTTACCTGCAGAGTTACTGGGAGTTAAAATTTTGCCATTTTACTTAATTTAGAATAAGAACATTTTGACGCAGCAAAGCCGCAAAGTTCTTTCGAAGTTCTTCTTACTTCTTTTTAATATTAAGCCAAGTTTCTATCTATGGCCTTAATGAAACTGAAGGCAACTTAATTTACCCCGCTCTATATTTTTAAACAACTATAAATCTTTTCAGCCTACGATAACCACTGCGTCGTTTTTGTATTGTCATGACTTCAAGGGCAGATAAACTCTATTTTCTTATGAAACAACAGGACTATACGTTAATATATTGAAAAAATAGAATGCAGAAATAATATCTATTTTCAAGAAATAAATATATTTATTTTCCAGTATTATGAGAAGAATATTTTGTAATATGCTAATATATTTACCTACCCTTGTGGCCTTTATTAAATGATTGTATTTTGCTAATGTTGCAGTTTAGTGATTTATATTACAAAATAAAATCGTAATTATTTATTACTTATCTATTTTAGTACTTAGTAGTTAATATTTTTATTTACAGTAATTATGATATAATTTGATTGCATTATGTTAAAGTAATTGGGGCTATCTGGTGCTAATTATAAGCTCAAGTAGTTTCTTGTATTTTATTTTGTTTGTAACGGGTTATTTACTTTATGTATTGATTTGACTTTATTGAAATATAAATACATACGACTAATTAATCTGTATTTATTTTATTTAATGGTATTTCTGAATTGGAGTATTAGATGCTCAGTTTGACTGAGTGACGAGAATAGCGAAGTGTAAGTTCCCATTTTTCCACCTCTCGCTAGGAACATATAATTACAACAGGTTAGTATTCCTAAATATACGTAATAAATACATATGTAAACTAAAAAATTCGATTGGAAAACACAAATACCTACAAAAATCCTCGTGAACATATGTAAGTACTTCAGTTCTCTGATCACTGCTTGTAAACATTCAAATACCTGTGAGCCTGTGACTTACATTACAAATGTAGGTATTTTCATAAATAAGTAGTTCATTCGTCTTTTGTATAGTAAGTGCTATGATAATTGCACAGTATTGTAGCGATACTATTGTGAGTTTTAATGAGTGTGTGCTGGGTGTAAATTAAATTAAATAACTAAGATTTGCATTCACGCTACTGTACGGTAGTGTAATTGGGTGTAATTATGTCTGCTTACGCCGGATACGTGTATCAACTGGTCTTAAAACATGATTGTTCCAACAATGTAATGGATAATACGTGGTAGTAATAGCTGGCGATGACGTATGAACCAGGGACATGATCACGAATGCTGTGGAGATTACTAAAGTTCAATTCAATTTTCATAAGTAAGGTAGGAGGTGGGTGTAAACGTACTTTTTTATTTACATATATGTCCTTATCTTAAGTTCAGAAGGACAAGGAGGTAATTGATGTAGAACAATCTCGTCGTCAGAGTCATCTGAATCTCCTTCGATAAAATTGTTCTTCACACGTCAGGATAGTGTTAGTTATCTTTGGTAAGGTACCAACATAAATAAAAGTTTGAAATCAATTCTAAAGACAAAGTTCCTTTATTTCCATGTACTTATACAACTTAGTCTGAAGTATCACATGAATTCGTAATAAAACCGAAGTTAGGAGCCTTAAATATATGGGAAGATAAATATTTAAGCTACCTAATTTTAATAGTGTGTTATATACACTACTAACTTGTACACTGAAACATATATTGTAAGATTATTTAATAAATGCCACGTTATAATAGTATCTACACAGCAGATTAATTTACAATTTTTGTTGAATAATAATAAAAACAAACTAGTGTACAACTACAGTTTAACAAACACAAAGTAAGGTACTATTCAGACAAAAGTGACTCAAGTCGCCGATGTTACATTTCTCTTAACTGATATGCAATTTCCTATTGTTTATAGTCGGTACAATGTTGCAGTTTCAATCAGAATGTTTTGTACCTACACTTTATGACAAGTGTACCCGACTTTACTTCCATAATATCTATAAGAACAGTTAAATTCCAAATTATTAATTAACGATTAATGAGATCTTATTATTTTTATGCCAAGTGGTGAGTGCAGTAAATATCGGATCTAATCGAAACATTTAACAATTACTTCGTAACACTGCCTATACTCGAGTGGAACAATTTAACTGCACTGCAACGCTACACACTAATAGCTATTGTTTAAGAAATTATAATAATAAGCTTACTCTTCAACAACAATGTAATCTATATAATACTTAAACTTAACGTAAGTCCGTCCACCATACAGCCACAAGTAACTCTAATGTTAACGACCTTTATGACGAAATACTATCAATTTTTAAAATTACAATAATGGAAACTAATATTAAATTAAATAACTAATAATGGAGAAATCGGACTAAAACGCCCGGCCATCTTCCCATCCTAGCGTTAATTTCCCCTTCACCTAGCCGTCCCTGTAGTTTTCACAGAGAAGAACAGCAATAGTTCATTCCATAGGAAGGGTATGGTGACACTTGATGACATAAACGCATTATTTTTTTATAGAAAGTACACATTTGTGGGAAAAGCTAATATTTAATGACCAAAAAAGAGAACTACTAATTGAATATTTACTTATAATTCCTGTGAGTGATAAATCGGCGACTACTAATTTTTTATTCGATGACCATTATCAATTTGTTGTTGTACAAGGGATTATATCGTTTAAATATTCTATCGATACTTTTAAAATAGACATTTTATGACCACTACGTCTGTAGTAACACCTACTCAACGTCACCATACCCTTTCTTCGTAAAAAATATTATATTCACTTACATAATATGAAGTGTATGACTATGAACAAAAAATAATGTTAACATTGTTTACTTGTGGCTTTCAACGAAATATGCTAACAGGACATTGCTGACATAAATACTCTAACTCAAGATAATATAATATTAAGTTCCCGACACTTAAAAATAATTCAAAAAGCTAACATTTAATTACATGGCCTAAATAATAAAGACCAATTCGGTCTCAAAGAAAGATCATTCAACATAAGCATTATTATTTACAATCAAATAACATTTACAAGTGCGAAATGTGTGAATACAAAAATAATATTAAAGATTCTTATTAATTATTTTATCGTACTAATAATAACAAACAAAAAATATTCGAAACAAACAATAATTTTACATTACATCCAATACACGACATTCAAATAAACAGTACTACAAAACAAAATATTAAAGCATTAATTCTCCTGCAGACACTACACCAACCTATGAAAAAACCTGACGTATGTATTCGTCTGGCTTTGTTGTATGCATATTCATACGTCGTGGCCATATCGAAGATTTGCTAACCACATGAAATTCTTGAGAATTTCATGGAAAAATGAAGTGATATCACCCGGGTGAATAAAGTGGTGTGTTTATAAGAACCGGCCAAACGTGAATGACAAAATGGTGATATGTAGACAAATTAGTGATGGTCTTATTGAGTTGCATACATTATGGAATACGACCACTTCATAAACTACTTATGCATTTCACGAAATGAGCAAATCGATGTGACCACGACATCTACACGCCTATTCTACGTGACAGATATAGTCTATATCTATAGGATAACTTTGATTATGGTGACAGAACAGTTCAATTAATGGTTATTAAAATAAGTTCTCTCTACCACTAAAATTGATATTTCTAACATAAATCTGTAATTACGTAGTATATAATTTAGACATACTTTATTTAACTAACATTCCCCCCAAAACATTTGCATAACATTTCATGATTTCAATATATAATTACATAATGGTAATGTCCATGTAATGAACAAAATGAATTTATGTCCAATAAATAAAAAGGAAAAAATAACTTCATTCATAATATTACTTAAATGTTTTATATTTGGCTTCTACTTGAAAGAGAGTTGCTTCAAGTGCATAGATATATTATTATGCTCCTCAACATTACTCATATTTAAGTCGCGAAATGCAAACGATTATATAAACACGTATTGATTAAATATGCCTTATCTAACCTGAAAAATCTATTTCTTATCATTTGGACAGTATAGCTCCAGATTGTATTTTAATATTTATTAAACCACCGATTCTTTTGAAGGTGGCTACAACTAATGACACGAGATTTCCTTACTGATGTATTACAGTTTGTCTAACTAATGTAACAGATCATGTTACATCCTGACAACTGATTGCAATTACCGTTTCAGAGGTTTCGAATAATTAATACGAACTTGATGTATAATTAAATTATGGTTAATTATTTATTATTAATGATAATTCCATATAATATAGCCATAAAGGCATGTTTTGAAATTAATTCCATTTCCATAAATGATAAGTACTATAAAATATGGTCTTGTTAATATATTAATTAGGCAAAGTCTAGACTTGTACATACTGCCAGTACCCATGTCTAATTGTCTATGGTAACCAAAACCTCTGTAAGCATCCTAAATACCGCAAATACTTTATCTATGATACGCGTTAAAAAACTCACATTTAAGGGTCGTGTACATTAATGTTGAAAACTTGCTATTACAATTAATATAATATGTA